TGGTTTCGCATAAAATTAAAAATAAAATGCCGCACTGTATTGGAATCTTTCATAGTCATATCATCATAGGCTACTTTTTGCGCAATGAAAGATTATTAATAGCCTTTTTTGTTCTGTTCTGTCCTCTCTATCATATGTTGCTGCCTCATTAAACAGCTGTGCTATACATTTAAAAAATGTCTTAACCATATATATATATATATATATATAATTAATTTGTATCTTATTTTTCATGAATGTATATTTTACAACAATGCAATGTGTAACGGTTTACCAGATTACCGGTTTACCAGATTTATTGTCTCTTATTTGTTCCCCACTAAATTTTTTTTTTTTTTTACTAAATGTTCAGATTTTATACAATTATTGTTTTTCTAGACTAAATTTTACTGAGGTATCCATTAATCTAGTATAATATAATTTTTGTCATAGGTTGATCATATTTTTTTTTTTGATTTGTTGTTTTTCTTTAGCTATAATGAAGTTGTCTGTATTAATTAGATTGTGTTTAACACACAAAAGAGTGATTATCAGTTCAACACTAGAGTTATAGAAATTCTACTTGATTTATTTTTTTAACTGCGCTGGTAAAGTTGACGAGTCGTTGAACACAGCAGGAGAGAACGCTCCAGTGGAACATTATTAGCTATAACGCTACGGAGGCCATAATATTTTTGACCCATCGCTGAAGGTTTGCAAAAAATGCATCTCAAAATGCATCAGATTGATGCTTTAAAATATGGAATATTTAAAGTTTTCTTCCGGGGGAGCAGTAAGTAATACCCCCTAGTAATATCCTTCTAACCTATTTCACCCCAGACCCGTTTTCATGCATGGAAGTAAATGCCTCGTTATATTTATGACCAAGCAGCACTCGCAATAGTCTAATAGGAAGGACAACTGGATTTGCAACGGGGGCTTTGTCATGCCCGATGTAGAGAGTTTCTTGTTGTGTGGAACGGTAAGACGCAACAATGTTAGACACGGTGTTGGTATTAAAAATTCTTGGAATCTTGGAATCGATTCTTTTCGATTCCAGAAACAGGAATCGGAATCGATTCTAAAAAGTCCGGAATCGAACAGCCCTAGCGTCCAGCTTGAGCTGGGGAAGTATTTGGCACCGTTTGGACAGTATTGATATGTGGGAATGCGCACTTTAGTGTGGACACGTGACTCCTTAGTGACACAGGCAGAAAATGACTCTTTTATGTGATTCCTGTGTGTCGCCGTTAAAACGGCGTTTGTCTGCAGGTGAGCGAGCTCTGCGGCTGACCCATTGGCTGCTGTACAGGCATTTTCAGCTGCCTGTAAGGGGACTGGGTAATGCTTTAAACCTTTTGGAGAGAGTGGTCCGGCTTTTGCGAGACACGCACTCTCTCTTTCTCTCCCTATGGCTAGAAAGACGAGGCTCCGGGTTCAGCACAATCTTGGGCCGAGGTCCCCGTCGCTCAGGCGGTTGCTATCTATTGGCGGACCGCGAGCGGCGTCGAGTGTCAGTTTCAGGTCTAGACTGAGAGACGGGGGGTGTCGTCCTGACTCGTTGCTGCTGAGGCGGCTTTTGGCGGCTCTGCGACGAGCTGGAGCGCTTAGGCAGGAAGTGAAGCATTGCCTGTGAAGCCTTCTGAGCTTCGCTGAAGCGCTCAGCGAACCCTTTCACCGCTGGTCCGAACAGGGCTCTTGGGAAGATAGGCGCGTCGAGGAACGGCGCCTTATCCGCGTCCTTCATTTCTGTTAGCGTCAGCCACAGATGGCGCTCAAGGACAGTCAGGTTAGCCATGGCACGGCCGATGGATTGGGCGGTGGCCTTTGTTGCTCGCAGGGCTATGTCGGTGGCGCTGCGCTGGTCCTTGAAAGCCTCAGGTTCAGGTCCAGACTCGTCCATGGTGCGGAGAAGTTTGGCCTGAAAAACCTTGAGAACAGCCATAGAGTGAAACGCTGACGCAGCTTGGCCGGCGGCGACGTATGCGCGACCGGCGAGAGCTGAGGTAGATCGGCAGGGCTTCGACGGATGAGAAGCTTGGCTTTCCATCCAGCGGTGGAGGGTGGGCACAGGTGGTTGGCCACAGCCTCCTCGAGGGGCGGAGTTCCCTCGTAGCCTCTTTCTTTCGCGCCGTCCACAGAGGAGAGCGACGAAGAGAAAGAAGGCTTCAGGCGAGCAGAGTGCGGGGATTTCCACGACTTCATGAGTTCGTCGTGAACTTCCGGAAAGAAAGGCAGGCGCCCCTGCAAGAACCACTCGTCCAGTCGACTGCGGGCGGGCTCTTCCGGAGAAGACCAATTGAGCCCGAGGTCTTCCACGGCCTTGGACAGGATGTGGATGATCTCTGAGTCCATGCTGGTGCCAATGTTGTTTTCGTCAACGATGACGATAACGAAATGATTTCGTTGACGCACTTATTTTTTATGATGATAACGCGACGATGACTAGCTAAAAATGGCTCTAAGGTGACTAAAACATGACGAGACGTTTTCGAGTTTTCGTTGACAAGACGAGACGGAACGAAAATGGCTATAAGTCTGACGTTCACAATGCATGTCATTTCTGCCTATTTTGCGTGAAATCTGTCTTGAGCTAAAAAAGTATCAGCAATGCTGCCGCTTCCTATCATTGTTTTGGGTACCCATGCCGCGCGCGCACCAGATTCCACACAACAACACAGCTTAATAGCGAATAGTTCTGCGGCTGCGGCTAGTCACTCACCACACATCTTCGAAGGACCATGGCGGCGAAGCCAATAAACGGGCTTGGTGGTCGGAAACGACGAGATGATTTATGGACATACTTTCAGTTTCAATATGATCCAGCGGTTCTCAAAGTGTGGGGCGCGCCCCACTGCCGTGACAGGTCTCCTCCAAAACGGGAGGAAATTTTCCGTTTTATGCCTTTTTATCTTTATTCGTTCATGGCGAGTCCGCATTGTCAAATTCATCTTTGCAGTGACACCGAAAACACCAGTTTATTAATAAGCAATTAAATGTCTCCTTGCTATTTTTTTACACATTCATAATCATTACTTTTGCCGGTTCTTTGTGGCAAGCTTTATGCGTGCGGTCGTGCGCTTGAGTGCGGCTATAACGCTCAATATCCCGTATAGCCTATTTAAGTAATTAAATTAATATAAAGGGGCGATTTGTCCACTAATGGCTTAAATGAAGAACTACTAGTCGACTAGAATACAAACTTTAGTCGGAGGCAGCTCTTATTCCACATATTCTCGAACCAGCAGGCCATTCTGTGTTGAGCGCGCGACCCTGAGCTGAATGAGCGAGCGGAGGAATATTCATAAATGCGCTCTCCGCTCACATGCTCTGATCGGAACAAAGGTGCATACTGTGAAATTGTGCAATTCAAAACAGGCTCATTGCAGCCACTAATGCAGGGATAAATAGACCTGTCTTGCCAAATGGATTTCTATTCTTTTCTTTTTTTAACAGATTGCAAAGTGGCACTTTTATTTCTTTTCTATTTTTTAACTTGATACCAATTTTGACACAGCCGCATTTTATTTTCTCTATTTTTTAAAGACTATTTATTTTTTATTTTTTACTAAAATTGACTAAAACTTGATTAAAACCTTTTTGCGTTTTCGGCGACTAAAACTTGACTAAAACCTTTTTTTGTTTTCGTCGACTAAAACTTGACTAAAACTATGAAGTTTTTAAGTGACTAAAATGTGACTAAAACTAAAAAGCATTTTCGTCCAAAAGACTAAGACTAAAACTAAAAGGGCTGCCAAAAACAACACTGGCTGGTGCCCATGCTCGTGCCTGCTAACGTCGACGGCCGAGCCCGGCCAGTCGTCGGATGCAGCGTCGATAGAAAGGCTGTCATCCTTCTCGTCGTCGTCCCCTGACGCGCCAAACGAGACGAGACCCATCGCTCTGTTGCAGGGGTGCTGGTTCGCCTGCGTGAACTGGACTGGCGCGGGGAGTCCTCGGGTGGTGGTGAAGCACCACCGGCGTGACTGGCCCGGCGTGACGTCACTACAATCCGCGTGCTCTGGCGGCCTCTGTGAGCGGCGCTTCTTGCGCGGCTCAAACAGAGGGGACGGCAGCATGGTGGTGGCGGGCTCGTTCACGGCGAAAGTGGCGAAACGAGCGCGCAACTCGGTGAGGCTCAGGGAGTCACACTCGGGGCATCCGCCTCGAGTAAGAGCAGCTTCTGCGTGGTCCGGACCCAGGCAGCGAGCGCAAATGATGTGACGGTCCCCGTCCGGAAGAAGGCCTCGACACGAGGCGCAGGAAGGCATTTGAAACAACGCCTTAATTTGCTCTTTTAGTTGAATAGTGTAAATTTTGAAAATTAAAATTTGAAAATTTGCTCTTTTAGTTGAAACACTTGCTTGTAAAAGGATATGTGATGATGCGCGCCGGATGGCTTAGCAGAAGGCGTTCGAAGGCGGCTGAAGGCGCCGGCGTCCTCTTAGCAGTCCTGCTGTAGGCTTGTCGACGGCGGCGAAAAGACTCCAGAAATCCAGAGGATCCAGCGAAGAGAGGGTCTTTGCTGAAGGAGATTAAATCTAAAAGAACTCTCAGGACAGGGCGCCCAATATATAGCCCTTGGCCACGCCCATCTTGGTGGGCTCGAAGCGCCCTCATTGGTCGCGCGTTCAGAGTCGCCCCGTCATTGGTTCGAGCAAGTTGCCGCAGCACAGCCAATGACCGAGCTGCCTCGCCTCGTCTGCTGTGCAGCTGCAATGCGTTTTACATAAAGACTTCAGTATTTCTCAAGAAAAGGAGTTTTTCCCATAGCGTAAGCTACTTACGCAATAGGAGAGACCTCTCAAAAGGGAACACCATTTATTTGAAATAGAAATATTTATAGCAATGTAAAATATTTATAACAATGTAAAAAGTCTCCACTGCCACATTTGATCAATTTAATGCATCCTTGCTTAAAAAAAACATGCTTACTGACCCCAGACTTTTGAATGGTAGTGTGTATGCAAAGATGTTTCTATACATCAGCGTACATTTGTGTCTCTCTCTTGTGTGTGTAGGTCCTGTGTGTGAAGAACATGAGTCCACGGGCAACCGTGGCTCAGCTGGTTTCTCTTTTTTCAAGGTTTCAGAAGGACGACAAACAGCCCATTCTGTACCGCCTGCTGACTGGCCGACTCAAGGGCCAGGCTTTCATTACACTCTCTGGTAAGAGAAAGACTCCATTGTGCTATATTATTTCCCAAAACGAACTACCATACAGGCTTAAAGGTGCAGTATGTAATATAGACTATAAGTCGGCCGATTTATCAGTTTTGCCGATTAATAGACACTGATAACTGATTGCTTGAACCTTTTCATATTATTATAAATGTATTCATTTGTTGACTAGATGCAGCATTAGTAGAGAAAAAATAGCAGTATGTTTGGCTGAGAGGATACTAAACATTAGCAGTACCTCGAGCGTCTGACCCAAATGTTTAATGTCACGATTGTTACCATCTATTTGCATTAGTTTATGTCCGGCTGATCGCTTTTATGCATTTGTAATGCAGCAAAGTTATTTAAAGCTTGTCATGAGAAAGTAAACTGTATTGTCATGCAGCATATAAACAATAAACAAATATGAACATACAAACACATGACGCATATAAACAAATCAGAAACACATTCAATTTCAGTTCTTTTTTTTTTTAAATCGTCACTGTAATACATATTTTGTTAATTTGATTAGATAATCAAGTGTTCTAAAATAGAGGCAAATAAATTATGAAAGTATACATATATGTGTCTAATTTCAATGCTATGGTCTTTGTGTAGATTTTTAAAGATGGCCATCTGTAAGCATGACTTTTTGGATTTATATGAAACACTTGTGTCCATCTGTAACATTGATAAAAGTATTGTTCATTGTTAATTTCAATATGTTTTTACATTTTAATGTCGTATCTCTTAACATTAGTTAATGCACCATGAACTAACATGAATGATCAAGGTAAAATTATATATTAATATTTTTTATATACAATAAGTACAGTACATTTTCATGGTTCAGTACTGTTTTCAATTTTTGTAATAAAGTTCAGCACTATTTTATTTATGTTTGTTTTCATTCGGAATCCATTTTAAAAATTATCGGTTGATTAATCGGTTATCGGCTAGTGCGGTCCAACCTAGTTATGGTTATCGGTAAAATCCACTATCGGTCGACCTCTAATATTGACAGCTAGTGGTTGAAGTGAGAAAAAAATTCATACAGGTTTGAAACAACTTGAGGGTGAATAAAATGATGGCAGAAATTTCATTTTTGGGTGAACTATCCCTTTAATGCAAAACTTCATATAATGCATCTGGGCACATAAGTATACAGTTTGCTGGTACAGTATGCAATGTAACATCTGGATTAACTGCCTTCTGTGTTTCACAGATGTCAAAAGCGCCCAAGCTGCTCTAGACTTGTTAAATGGCTACAAGCTGCTTGAAAAGCCTCTGATCATTGAGTTTGGCAGAGAGAGAAATAAAGAGACTGATGCACAGACTGACAACACCCCTTCTTCAATACAAAAAGATGAACAGTCCTGCAATGAGAAACCCCCTAAATGTATTTAAGTGGCTTTTTCATTCTGTTTTTGTAAATAATAAATTATTGTATATGCTGTTTATTTGGAAATAAGGTCACATTGTAAATCTCTTAAATAAATCCCAAAACAAACGTCTCAAAGTATAATTGTAATTCTTTTGTTGATCAGCAGATGCCACTCTTTCTCCATTACTAAAGTCACCATAAACACAAAATGAACAGTTCTCCAACAGTCACCAGCAGAAGCAGAGTGAGTGACACTAGATCTAGATTCTGCTATCTGCTGTGGCTATGTGTAGATGTTTTACTTTTGCTTCTCTAACATATATGCAAGGTTGTGCTCGCAGTCAATGAACCCTGCAAGTACAGAACTCCGCAAAAGAACCAATCAGTGCCTTGTTTGCTATGCTATCTTTCCCAAATAGTTACACATTAAAATGAAGTTAAAATCAATGCAGTCGAGTTTCAGTTGGAGTGCTTTTACTGTAAATCACTTGTTTATATGACAACATCACCTTAGCATAAATGCGTAACGCACAGGCTTCAGTATATTGTTTTGCACGTGTCTGTAAGGACTTATTTGGGTAGTTAATGAAACAAAAATTACCCTTTGCTGTGTTGTTTTTGTGTCTTTCATTAGAAGAACAACAAATAGTTCAGTAGGATAATCCACAGGGGCTGCAAGGGATATTCAAATTTACATGAAATTTACAAAGAATAAATAACTTTTTTTTATTTAAAAAAGCACTATATTTCTTTATTCTTAGTACAATAGGATGACGATCCAATCACTGCCAGCAATTTATGTAAAATGTTAACAAAAATGATCATGTTATTTTTAAGACCATATTATTAGCTACAATGGACAGTTTTATTTAAAATAATTAATCATCACAATGCAAGACCATTTAAATTGAACAACTAAAGGGAAAACAACCACTTACAGGAACCATTATATATATTTCCTTCACACAAATGTTATTTTAACCTGAGATGCTGAATTAAAAATGATTTTGCATTACTTTGCATTAAGAATTTCTATTATTCTACCCTGAAAAAAACATAGCTCAGGGTTTTCAATCTTTTAAATGCCAGATTCGATCATCCTAGTGCGAGGGACCTCTGTCGCAAAACGTAAAAGAAAGCTATTTTCATTTATAAAAAGTTCAAATATAAATGTGTAAAATATTTAGTTTCTATTATGTTACATTATTACATTTCTACTCACTATTGTACTGTACTGTACTGTACTGTAAAGGTTAATTTCTGAATGATTTATTGATTATTTTATTTTTAAAAACACTGTTTTCCTCTAAACTCTTCCACAGACTTGCGCCCCCTGGAGATCCCCGGACCCCAGTTTGAAAACTAACTCCTACTATTATAGCCAACTCCTATTTGACTTGGAACTCAGACTACAAAGTATACCAGTCTTCCTTTCATATTTTTACTCTAAAATTCAAAGAAAAAAAGGAACCTAGTGTTTTTGAGCTGCTAGCCTCTCTGGCCTAGAGTTTGGAGCCAAAGACTAATAAACAACCCAAAACTTTATTTACAAAGTGAATAAGATCATTTAGTGCTCAAAGTGAGTGCATATAGATTTGTTAATGATGACAAAGTGAACATACTGTCATGTTAAAATATTCAAACAAGCTGTGTAAAACAGTCGATGTTGCAAAAAAAAAAACTACATGTGACTACAAAAAAACATTTTGTAAGTCTAAGTGCACTTAACAACATTGACTGATCCGGTCCTTCATAAAAGCGGGCAGCTGAAAAGTCATTGTCAAATATTAGCTCTGCATGTTATCATATGATCCTGTCGATCCATATTGCTAATCATCTTGCTGTTTATTTCATATTTTTGAACCTCTAAACAAAGAACAGCAATATCCAATGTGAGACGTGAAACCAAAAAGCACCTCATATTCTGTTCATTCAAATTCTCTGGGAATGTGTCAGCTCTGCTTGCGCCTTAATCCAACCTATTATAAGAGTCTTATTATTCAAATTCTCTGGGAATGTGTCAGCTTTAGTGCTTTTCACTTTAGTGCTTTTAGGAGAACAAAACGACTGCACGGATTAGCGCAAATCCTCAAACGTAGCCGGTGACGTCATAACCGGCTGCTGTGTTCTGCCGAGCCGATTTCCTGGGATCCTGGGCGGGCGTGTTGGAGTGGGTACTAGTGCTTGTATGGCTGTTAAGGGTCTGGTTCTTGCTGGTAAAGTTGGGGTTAGTGGTGGAATGTAGAGTAACTGGATGGTAAGGCATGGAAAGGGGCTGTCCGCGCGGGACGGTGCGGTCAGGGTAGGGGTAATGGCGTCTGGTTCCCCTGCTACCATCTAAATCATCACAACAGGATGCACTCAACAGCCCTCCACCAAGCATGGACAAGAGTGAAGAAGCCAACCCCACATACAGGCAGTCGCCGATCTCAAACTTTAGCCCGGCTGGCATGTTCTGCATGTAGAAGGTCTGCACCACCTCATGGGTCTTCCAAGACACAGGGATCAACGCCAAAAGCCCTGCCAGGAGAAACAGGGAACCACCTGCCCCAGCCACCTTGGTCTTGATCGAAGAGCCGTCCATGCAGACGGTGCACTGCATGCCGACGGTGGACACGGCACAGGCCATGACTGAGAAGATGGACGAGATGACCATCATGGCTCTGGCTGTTTGTAGATCAGTGGAGAGTCCCAGAAGGGTGTTGTAGGTCTCACACTGGAAGGCTCCAGTGCTCTGGTACACACACTCCATCCACAGACCTTTCATGCTGACCACCGCCGTCACGATGTTGGGGCCAACGTGTGCGGACGTCGCCCAATATGGCAGAAGAGTGGCTACCAGCGTCCCAAGCATGCCAAAAAGGCCAAAAAAGAAACCCATCAACTCCAGCGCTGCTATCGCCATGTCTCCAACTGGATGAACGTGTTCTCCAAAAGTCAGACACACTTCTGCTTGATCACTGTAAAGGAAAACAACTCACTTTAGCTTTTTTAATTCTCAATCATTTTAACTGCTGTGTGTAATTCAATATTACATTTAAAGTTAATTTAACGTTTAAGAAACTTCTTTTTATGTCTGACCCTTCTCGTATCTTGTATGAGGATGATCAACTTTTGCTATCAAACAGAAAACTTAAGAGTAGCATATGCTAGAATTAACAGCTTACGGAAATCTTTTGTTCATCAGTCTGTAAAATTAATAAATCAGAATTGGGGATCTAAGTAAGCCTCAGGGTTCTGAAAAATAGAAAGGACTAAATCAATGCACTGCAGCCAGTTATGTATTTACATATATGTTGTATTTGTTTTAAGTGGCGTTTATTGTATTGCGCTTTGTTACTCGATGTGGATGTGTACGGATGTGAGACAGTAAACGCTGTGGGATGGGAGAACATTTTTGGAAGACAATTCCATTAATAAAGTGAAATCGAATTGAATTTAATCACAAATGTGTAATTTCAAGTATATTTCTATGTGACATACAAGTTTCATTGCTTGTCAGAACATTGTAGTACACTTTTCAATTTCAAAGACAACAGAAGTAATTAAGAAATCACATATAAAGTTGTACATAAGCCCTACTTTAAAAAGCACTCTTAAATTGCAAAAACATTACATTCAATACACACTTAGGTACTTTTTAAAAGTATGCTAAAGTGTAATGCGAGTGTACTTACACTTCATATGTTAACTTCAGATGTTTCCAGTGGTTCTTAATTCACTCATGTGTGGATGTGTTCCCACAGTCCTTCTATTTGTGATCCTACCATCTCTGTTGTGCTGTAGATATTAGAAGCTGCCCCTGGTCATGTACACAGAAGGCACCTCTGGAAAAGATAAGTTAAATATTTACTCGTTACTCACCCCAAAACTGACCTTTTCTGCTTTCATCCCAAAAACAAGGCCACTGTGGAAAAGGACAATGTCAATCCTAGCATGTTAGTGTTATTTTTTTCCAGCAGTGTAGATTTCACTCAAATGTTATCAGATGTTTTGCATTTTATTAAAAAGAAAAATAATAATAATAAAAAAAAAATATATATATATATATATACTGTATATATACACTCACCTAAAGGATTATTAGGAACACCTGTTCAATTTCTCATTAATGCAATTATCTAATCAACCAATCACATGGCAGTTGCTTCAATGCATTTAGGGGTGTGGTCCTGGTCAAGACAATCTCCTGAACTCCAAACTGAATGTCAGAATGGGAAAGAAAGGTAATTTAAGCCATTTTGAGCGTGGCATGGTTGTTGGTGCCAGACAGGCCGGTCTGAGTATTTCACAATCTGCTCAGTTACTGGGATTTTCACGCACAACCATTTCTAGGGTTTACAAAGAATGGTGTGAAAAGGGAAAAACATCCAGTATGCGGCAGTCCTGTGGGGGAAAATGCCTTGTTGATGCTAGAGGTCAGAGGAGAATGGGCCGACTGATTCAAGCTGATAGAAGAGCAACTTTGACTGAAATAACCACTCGTTACAACCGAGGTATGCAGCAAAGCATTTGTGAAGCCACAACACGCACAACCTTGAGGCGGATGGGCTACAACAGCAGAAGACCCCACCGGATACCACTCATCTCCACTACAAATAGGAAAAAGATGCTACAATTTGCAAGAGCTCACCAAAATTGGACAGTTGAAGACTGGAAAAATGTTGCCTGGTCTGATGAGTCTCGATTTCTGTTGAGACATTCAGATGGTAGAGTCAGAATTTGGCGTAAACAGAATGAGAACATGGATCCATCATGCCTTGTTACCACTGTGCAGGCTGGTGGTGGTGGTGTAATGGTGTGGGGGATGTTTTCTTGGCACACTTTAGGCCCCTTAGTGCCAATTGGGCATCGTTTAAATGCCACGGCCTACCTGAGCATTGTTTCTGACCATGTCCATCCCTTTATGGCCACCATGTACCCATCCTCTGATGGCTACTTCCAGCAGGATAATGCACCATGTCACAAAGCTCGAATCATTTCAAATTGGTTTCTTGAACATGACAATGAGTTCACTGTACTAAAATGGCCCCCACAGTCACCAGATCTCAACCCAACAGAGCATCTTTGGGATGTGGTGGAACGGGAGCTTCGTGCCCTGGATGTGCATCCCACAAATCTCCATCAACTGCAAGATGCTATCCTATCAATATGGGCCAACATTTCTAAAGAATGCTTTCAGCACCTTGTTGAATCAATGCCACGTAGAATTAAGGCAGTTCTGAAGGCGAAATAGGGTCAAACACAGTATTAGTATGGTGTTCCTAATAATCCTTTAGGTGAGTGTATATACTTTATTTTTAAACTGAATCACACAATCAAGAGTGCTGGACCGCAGTAAATCATATTAGGATGACCAGATGTCCCTATTTTCTGGGGACAGTCCTGCTTTTTGGTGTCTTGTCTAGGGCTGCACGATTAATCGAATTTTAATCACGATCACGATTTTGGCTTCCCACGATCAAATTCGCGTGATCGAGCGATATTTTAAATGCGTCATTCCATTCACAGAACGCTCCGTATCAAAGGTTTTTTTTTTTTTTTGCAAAGCCAATCTAGCTCTCCGTAAACCACTGTCTGATCACGTGCCTCCATGAGCCCCAGTGCGCGAGAGAGACCGAGGGCCCTATTTTAACGATCTGAAACGCAAGTGTCAAAGCGCAAAGCGCAAGTAACTTTGTGGGCGGATCCCGGCGCTGTTGCTATTTTCCCGGCGGGATAAATGCCTCTTGCGCCTGGCGCAAATCTAAAAGGGGTTGGTCTGAAGTAGCTTCATTATTCATAGGTGTGGTTTGGGCGTAACGTGAAATAAACCAATCAGAGCATCATCTCACATTCCCTTTAAGAGCAGGCGCGCTTGTTCTAAAGCGGATTCCTATTATAACGGCGGATTTGCCAGGAGCGGTTCACAGCCGAGGAGAGCAACGTTCTCGTCAGGGCCGTAAAACACAGAGAAGTGACATTGGGGATGGAGAAACCCACCCAAATTAACTTCTGTTAAACAGGCGTATGATAATTTGGGTAAATGTGTAAGCTACTTGTATGCTTTTATAATAAATTGTCTATCTATCTATCTATCTATCTATCTATCTATCTATCGTAATAATGTATGATTTGCAAAAATGAAAACTGCTGCTTAGATGAGAGAATCAAAGTGTATATGCGCGTTGTGCACACGCTACATTGATTATGGCCAAGCATGCGCCCTTAAAATAGCATAATGAACAACGCGCAACGCGCCACTGACTTTAGACTAGGTTTTTTCTGGTCAGTGGCGCTATTGTTTTATAGAACAGCAAAATAGCATGAGGGAAAGTTTGCGCCGGAACACGCCTCCTCTTTGCGCTGAACCGCCCCGGGGAGCGCAAGTGTATTTCTTAGTTAACCGACGTGTGTCTGTGGAGGGGAAAGTCCGCTTTGCGCGGGTGCAAAATAGGAATGATACATGAGTCAGTGTACAAAGTCATTTGCGCCGGGTGCAAGATAGGGCCCCGAGTGTGTCTGCGCGCGAGCGACAGTGCACGAGAGAGACCGAGTGTCCAAGAGCGCGCTCGAAAGTGCGCGAGAAATACCGAGCGTGTCTGCGTGCGAGCGACAGCGCGCGAGAGATACCGATTGTGTCTGCGCGAGAGAGAGACCGAGAGACAGCGTGCGAGAGATACCGATTGTGTCTGCGCGAGAGAAAGACTGAGTGTGAGCATTAGTAAATTGGTACATACATACTACATAATTACTAACGTCTTGTTTTGAACTATTGTTTAATAAATAGAAATAATTCGAGCACATAAACTTTCATATGGAGGATTAAATAGATTAAATTTATGCAGTAAGACTTCACATAATCACTAACACTGTACCACAACATTTTACATTTCTTAAGCGTCAAATAACAATAACTCTGAATTTCATCCATTAATCGAACTTCCATAGTGCATAGTTCTGCCTTGAAATGTTCTCATTTGGTTACATTCTGTTATGGAATATTTGTTTTTCATTGATTGTATATTTTGCGTGTTTTATTCACATCCATTATGCAGGTACAATGCAAGTTTATATTTTGCTTCCTAAAATATATTTACACAATGTAAAATAGTGCCCCGTTGAAGTTTTGCTACATTTTCTTTGTTTTCTTTATTTTTTATTTAAAGAGATGCACTGAATTTTGGTGAATAAGAGGACCTATTTTATTTTGATGCACATAGTTGTACATTAGCAGGAATGTAGCACAATATGGATGTGAAAGCAGTTATAATTAGCCTATGTGACAAAAAAAATTTGTTTTGGTTAAAGTCAACAAATAATCGTGATAATTAATCGTGATCTCAATATTGATCAAAATAATCGTGATTATCATTTTGGCCCAAATCGTGCAGCCCTAGTCTTGTCTCATGAACTTTCCCTGTTTTACCGCACATTTAAAACACACCTGCCAATTCACAGCAAAAAAAAAAAGAAAAGAAAAAAAGCTAAATAAATTCAGTTTGTGAAAATTATAATAAGAAATACAATTATAAAATGGTAAACATATATATTTGTTAAAGGCACAGTTTTGTTGCTAGATGCCACTAGCAAAGGCGTAGATTGATGACGCTGTGAATGAGTGTGGAATCATGGGAGTTGTCCTCTTCACCTCCACAGCCGATGGAAAGCAATTCGTCTGGACTCGGGCAGAAATAATGTTCATGGATGAGATAATGTATTAATTTTTTATTAACGTTCCTGAGAGCGTTGCCAAGAGCCTGGGATGTTTTATGTTGCTGTTTTATTATGCTTGTATGCCGCAGTCGGCCGCTGCTGCTCCTTTTGTTTTGTTCTTTATGTTTATTTTACGATTAAAGTTACGTTTAACGTCCGTCTCCTTCTTCCCTGAACTTTGTTACACAATCTATGTTACATTAATTTCCT